CCTCTTACTCGTCTCTCAAGGAACTGATATCTGGAAGATACCAGGAGCATTTCAATTCACTCATTAGAAAGCATATTGTTCTCTCCAGCCTTTCCAGGCTTTGAGAAAAATCCTGTCAAAGACCTTAGCAGTCTTGACTTCTCCACCTGGTATCAACTGTGCACAGCTTAAGCATTCAAATGGAAAGCTTTGGAAACCTTAAAGCATAAAGCTTTAAGATCAAGCTTATGTGCTGGAAGGACTTTGTATTTTGAGGGAGAGTAGTAATTTAAGGTTACTGTCTCTTTATTGTCTCTGTCAGAACGTTTTGACCACAAGCACAGTCTTGAGAAAGGCAAAGGGAGTGGTTTGTACCCTGTGGTTTCTTATACAGCAGTTAGGTCATGAAACAAAATGCCTCATTACTATCATCCAGTTAGTGTTACCATGAAAACTGTCAGATTTAAATGCTTTAGAGTGCTCTTCTAACTGTTGTCATAGTAACATCAGATAGACAACATGGTAGTTTTGATCTGTATCCCATGTTCAACTAAATTCCTTTGCAATCAGCTGTGAAAGGAAAGTACCACATTGTATCAGGATAGATTTTCTCTGAGTTAACCAGGGACAAATGAAGACTGGAATTAACTCTTCCTTTGAAAATGAAATATAAATCCTTAGTATAAGTGATTGAGTTTTCTTGGCTTTTGGTTTGACTGTCCACACCAACAGTCTTACACGTAGAACGCGCTCTGTGGAGTTACTGACCGTCGTGTCATGTCTTGGAAGTGAAAAGCACATACTGCAGTCACAAACTTAAAACTTTTCTTAGAAGAATGGATTTACCTCACAGATAGTAATTTTCTTTGGAAGGGGAGAAGTGAAAACACCACTAGAAACTCAGATCCTACTTTCTAGTTTGACCTCACTTTTAATGCTTCCCTAAGCTTGCCCTGTTTTTTTTTTTTTAACCTCTGTGGTGTTATCAGCTACTATGTTTTTAGTTACATTCTTCTGTTTTCTGATGTACAAGAGCTTTTTTAACTGACTTGCTGTAGGAAGAAGGCATCTACAGCCCTCTACCAGCCTTCCACCCCAGAAAGCCTTTAACTTCACTCTTGCTGTGGGCACAAGGCAAAGACAACGTTCTCTCCTTTCTGACCTACATTCTCACAGTGCAGCTTGGCAGAGCTGGCTGCACGGCTCCCCTGCCTCCCTCCTTTCAGGCTGGGTACGTCTGGTGAGGCAGAGCTGAAGAAGGGACTGGATGGGCTAGAGATGTTATCTCTGGTAATACAGCAAATGCCATGTCTATTAGGTATGATCTGCAGTCTGAAATTGTGGTCAGCAAGGGTGAGGCTGTGTCTGCCCAAATCTCGTGTTGTTTTGGAAGAACAACCTGAAATGAAAAGGACAATAATGCTCTTAAAATTTGATAGGTGCAGTTATCAGTGTAATTAAGTAATTGTCCAATATTTGTTTCTTTCTGTTATTTGACAGCACAAAATAGGGATCGGGAAACATTTTTTAGAATTGTAAAGATATATTAAAACCTACTGATGGTTTTGCAAATCAGTTACAAGACTGTTCTTGCTAAGAGCACAGATGTGAGAGGTCTCCCACATTAGTTCTCCCCTGTATTTGCATTTTCTGTGCTCAAAATCTATTAATCTGTAATTGCAAATAACTCACATCACTGATTTTAAGTGGGGATGTGAAAGGAACAGTTCTGTTGTTGATGAATAACAAATTTTGTGGGACATCGTTTTGGTCATCTAGTATCAATGTGTAAATTTTTCTTTAGTTGAAAGTTAAGAAAAAAAGTATGAAATTCCAGTTTCTGTTTTTTGTTACTTTGCTTCACTTAGATAAGATTTTTCTCTGCTGTAGTGATGGTACTGGTGACATTGAAATTTTTTTATGTAATAACTTTTGAGTCATTCTGACTTGTATTTGTTCTCGATTTGAAGCAGACACAGAAGTAAAAACATTTAAAGCAAATACTGTACAAATGTCTATATCTCAAGGAGTAAAGTAGTTTTGGTTGGGTTTTTTTAATTGCATTTCAGACATATTGGACTTTTGGATACAAGCTTGTATCCTATTGCTCATGAAAATACTTTTTTTTTTTTTTTTGGTCCTCCTTTATGGGGGAAGGAAGAGAAAGAACTTGTTGAAGGTTTTAATGCTATAAATAATTATTGCACTGTTTTTAACATGAACTATTTTTATGTTCTAGTAGAGTGAGGAAATATGTTACACACAAGCTAGAAAATGCTAAAAATAATCAGAGAATAGAATGTAGATATTTCATTCCGTAATTGCATATTTCATCATAGAAGCTGTCCCTCTTCTGAAAGCTTTGTAATGAACTATGCTAGAAAACAGCACTTGGACACAAATTATTTAAGTAGCTTTTGGCTGCCTTGATAATGACTCAAATGTATTTATAGAGTAGTTTCAGCCTATACCCAGTCATTAATACAAATTTTTAAAAATTATGCTGGACCCTTAAAAAGGCATTAAAAATAACTTCTATTTAACATCTTATGCTCCTCGGTAGTATTTTAATTAGAAAGAAGTTTGATATACTGAACTTGTAGGTATTGTATCATAATTCTGCCAAGTTTGGGCAGATCAGCATCATACGTGAGCTCCGAAGTGGAGTACCCAAGAGGTTGTTTGGCTGCCAAACTTTATGATTCAAGTGCCAAACTATATAAGGTTTAGTTATTAACATCTTGGACTATACCCAGAAGTCAGTAACAGCATTTTGAACTAGACGGAGTTGGTAAAATTCAAAGAGAGTACATTACAGTCTAGCTTGAAAGTGCTGAGGGCAAGGAACACTCCTGAAGCCCTCTCCAAGATGATGGGCTGTGTTCTTGGCTGGCATTACTAAGGTAGAGGCCACTTAAGGTATTGTACTTCTTCCAGAGCTGGATACCCTTGAGTAGCAGCTGGCTAGACTCCGGTTGTCTAAAACCCACTACTGTGTAAAGCTGGCGTATAGTTGACTTCAGCCAGGTGGCTTTCAGCTGGGGTATTACCCGTGGCCTGCGCTAGCTGGGTGGGAGGAAGCAGATCAAGTGTGGAGTAAACTATAGATGGGTGTTGGAAGAACACTCCCAATGACTTTTTCTAATGCAGCTTGCATGTCGGTGTCACACGAACACCAACAGTTGTTACATAAACAAAGTGGATGCGCTTCCAATCTAGTTGGAGAAATCTTTTCTGCAGAGAGTTTCTATTTTTACACACATCTGCTTTTCCTGGAAATGGATGCTTCTACAATTTGAAGTGTCTTGGAAATGCTCTAATGTATGATTATCATATCTCAAATACAGCAGAAGACAAAATTTGGTGGAGGATCACCAAAAAGATGAAGAACAAATTCCCATATCCATCTTCAATAGGAACCCTTAGAATTTCTTCAGAGGGCTAGTCCAGTGCAATATAGTCTCTTCATGTGTCTAAGTGCCAGCATACAGACAACCTCAGGGCTGCTGAGAGTGCTCAGTAATACAATTTGTCTTTTCATTACAAAGAAAGAAAACCTGCTGTGATTTGTGCTGTGCATGGTATGAAAACTAGTCTTTAAGAACTAAGAACACTAGAAAAGAGAAGGAACACTACAGCTAGAAATAAATTTCTTCCTCAGCAGCTTTCCCATAGAAAGTGAAGTCTGAAGACCATAAATATAATCAATTTTATTAAATAATAAAAGTACATCAAATATTTGTTCTTTATCCAATTAAAAAGTCCCAGTCAAACAGAAAACTAATCACAATTCCATCATTTGCTGCTAAATCTGAGGTGGGTATTGCTTACCCTGGCACTGTGACAAACAGTAATAACCTGAATCTGATACAACTCAGCTGTAATTCTGTTGGAAAATAAGCTTTAAAAGTTCTGTTTGTTAGAAAACTGGAAACCTGTAAATAGATTTAGACTACTTCTCACATTTGTTTTCAGTGGTACGTGTTGTGGCTTCAATTCTAAAAAAAGCTTGGGTTTTGTTCTTGCCCATATTGTTGTCTAGAACTCTTATTGGTATGACGACCCATTCTTCCCCACCTATAAAGTAGGGTGTGTGGCTGAGCTTTCTCTAACAGAACTGTTTTTCACTTGACTGATCCTTTCTTTTCCTTGCACACAGGAAAGAGCAAAATAACAAAGATATGGTTGCTTTTCTCGCTCTTTCCTCAAAATGAGATGTTTTCAAGACTGTGAAGTTCCATTTTGCATTTCTGTTCAGCCATTAATTGCTTTACGTAACTTCAAGGTAACTCAATAGCAGATTTAATTAATTTGCATCAAGATGCCAAGCTGAATGTCACTTGGCACCAGATTTTAGGAGCTTGCCCTATGATGTCTAGAGAAAAATAACTTAGTCAATCTTTGAGGTGAATCTAGTTGAACCTATGATGGAACTTAGAACACCGCTTGCATTCCTGAAGGTGATGTTCAAAACCACAGTCTTCTGAACTTTGATTTTATTTATCCCTGCTTCCTAACTGAAATCAGCAACCTTCCCAAAGCTGGGCCTACTTTAAAAGAGTACTTTCTTAGTGTGTTACAGTTCATTGGTAGTGTCTTAACTTAATTGAAAATGTGACATTCCTAAATATATGGTACCTTAAAGAAGTGTATGACAATTTTAATGTGGTATTTGAAGGTAACACTGATCTGCCCTTTGTGCATTTCCTTAGTTTTTAATTTTTCATTTTATAGCAATTCTAGATAGCAAGAAATCATTACATTGAAGAGACCTAGAGCTATGAATTAATTTTTTTTTAAAATAAAATTTTAGCGGGGGAAATATGCTCAATTATCTTTTATTGGCACATAATTCCATAATTGTACCACCAAAGTGTGCATGCTTATTATTGCACATTAACACAAAAATTGTCCTATACCATCTTCTTTTCTCCTCCAATTTACTAGGAAAACCTTTTGGTTATAGTTTCGTAACATTAGTGTTATCAAGAGCTATACTTTTTATTTTTGGATTAAAAAAATATTTTTCAGACTCCACTATGTGATGGGTATCAACTAAAAGCTGTCCCATGAAGCTCATCCATTTTCACTGTACATGCGCTCAGCGGTATTTACAGATTGCACATGGCGGACACTTGACAGGGCAGCGTTGTCCTTCTAGTGCAGCTTACGGTGGCGATACCTGCCTGCTTTTTCTTTTGCTGCATTGGCACAGGCGTTGTGCTTATTTTGTTGTAAGTGGTTCCAGTATTTGATCAGTTCACTAGGTTGGAACTGATGGGAGGTAATTAGGTGGCTATATTTACAGCTGGAGTAAGAAACTCGCCAGTGATTGAAGACAAACTCATTGGGCGGAGGCATAGGGTCAATTCGCAGCTTGGCGAGACAGATTCCCACATATACATCCTCTAAATGCAAACGTCTGATGCTTAAGGAGACTTTAAAGATTTTTTCTGCTAAATCTCCAGAAAAAACATAGCCAGTTCCAGAGCAGAATACAGGATAACGTTCACTTGGATACAAATCGGGTGGCATATACCACTTACTATCTTTGTTCCTATTAGGTGCATAACCTCTCATTAAATAACCTGTGAAATACTTGTGCCTCGGAGGAAGTTCTGGTTTCAAAAGCTTGTGTATTAAATATTCAGTATTGACAAACATATCGCTGTCAGTTTTCATAACATAGGGAACGTGTGGACAGTAGGATGCAACCCAGTTCATTCCCATCAGAGTTTTAATGGTTAAATTATAGTAGGTGTCGAAGTATTCTTGTTGAATGATGTCATGGTACTGTCTACTTTCCTCTAGAATGGTACGCTGGAGGTATCCATTTACCTTGATGCTTAACCCCAGCAAAAAAATGCGAACAATTTGGATGCCAGGTGTCAGGCTTTCGTTACCCCAAGTTTGTCGAATGGCTTGTCTGGCTTCCACCTGGCCTGGCTCTGCAGCTATGAGCAATATTAGAAAAGGGGTCTTCTCCTGGCACTTCTCAGGCTCATTGATGATATATTTGAAATGATAGGAAGTTGCATGCCCAGTACCTTTCTCTTTGTAAATACTTCCATTGGCACTGAGGGTGTTTTCCAAGCCAGTTACTCCTTGCGGTGAGAGGTCCGTGTTGTTGGAGTTGGTGACTGTTTGAGGCCTGAGCGTCTGAGGTATGACATCTTTCCACATGTTCCTTAGAGAGCTGTGATTTGTCTCACTTTTTGTAGACCTAAATCCTCGTATAGTGTAAGCCATGGGATTGTCTCTGAATGCAGCTCTGCCTGGTAGCCAGTCGTGGTGATTGAAGAACAGAAACATAGCAAAAAGAAATACCAGAGAGACCAGACCAATGAGATGGGTACGAAACAGAGACCTTTTGGCATTCCAGGTCATCTTTGCAAAGCAGCAGTGTCGTCTTCTCCACTGAAGCATGTTGTAAGAATCTAGTGATGGAGTATGAGACAATGGCCACGCAAAATGCTTTTCCGATCGTGTTTGAATCGACTGCTATTCTTTGGTGTTCATTTTCTTTTGTTCACGTTGAGTAATTGTCTGCAAAGTTTTAAAAAAAGAGAGTCAGAAAACTTAAATTCTACACACTCATAAAAGGTTACAATGAACAACCAGGTATAAATGTAACTGTGTTTCAGTTTTTTAAAAAAAACGTAGCCTGTATTGATATAAGCAAGGTTCAAATTATGCAAAAAGCCAGCCTGGTTTTATGATTAAAGTTGACTTGATTAGCTAGGTTTTTGTGGTAAAGGTTTTGACAAACATCCTGGGTACCAAAGATTAAAAGGGGAGGGGAAAAAAAAAAGATCATCTTAGCAGAAGTGTGTAGTAAACATAAAAGGCTTTATGTATCCTGACTGTGAATTCCTTGTACAGTGCTTGAGAAGGACTGAATGGAAAGGCGTTGATACCAGATGGAAGGTTTATTGGCATTAATTAAAATCGATTTGACATGCAGAGGCTAGTACAGCTCGGCGTTCAAAAACCCTTTTTGTGAAATGGTCATGCATTGGTGGTGGGACAGACGGCGCACGGTTGATTATGGCAGAGTTGTGTTAGTCACAGAACACTGCTTGGCGTGTTTCCACTAGCCCCAACTGTGCTCAGAAAGTCAATGAGAAGATGCACCTGTCAAAATTAATTTTCAGGGTCCAGTAACCTCACTGCACAGTCCTCAGATGATAACACAGGTTAACATTTTCTCAAGCACCTTTAACCTTCTCCTCTACGTTGAAAGAAAATATTGAATGCAACACTTGGCTGCCATGCCAGGCTCATATGCAGCCGAGTTAAAATTAAGCTGTTGATTTGTAGCAGGCAGAGATGTAGGGTAAATCTTCATATTAACTTGAAGTAAAATTGCCTGGTGCTGTTTCTGGCAAACTGTCTGATGAACATGATTTTTGCTTCTTTCCTGTGAAAATGTATATGTAACTACTATGCTTCCAGTATCACATGGAAATCTCAAACATTGTTACCTGCAGCTGTAATGGTAGAAGGAAAGTACCAAAGTAGTTTGTGCCTCATTTTATCTTAATTTTTTTTTTCATATTCAAGAGCAGAGTCAATATGGCAGCTTCATGATGCTGCATATTAAAAGCTTATCACATCATCTCGTAAATGAACCTTTCACTGCACAGTAGCAGTTCGTTTGTGATTTTCAATTTGCCCTAATTTACTTCCTGGCTCTAGGGTTTTGTATAGGAAAAAGGATGACAGTTGAACAAGAGTCCAGAGAAAATGGTATTTCTAATATAAATATGTAATTTATTAATTGCTTTGCTATCTTCTAAAACCAATATTTGGATTAATGTCCACATTTAGAAATTAAGTGACATGTTATGTGGGAAATTATGGGATTTTACTTCATAAGGAAATACTTTAAGACGAGATAGCAGTTGAAAAATGTATTGAATTGTATGGGTGTGACCTAACATTCAATCTGCCCTGTTCATGTCAGTGAAAATTTGTATTTCAAAAGGATAGGGAGGGACACATAACTAAGTCTCAGTTTAATTACTGTATGTCAGTTTATATATAAACAAAATAAGGTGTATGCAGAAGGATGCCTCATTTGCAGCATTTGGGAGCAAGGTGAAGGAGGTGGCATCACACCAAGTCAGGGTTGTCTCTCTTGCTGACCTCCACTAGGAGGAGCAAGTAGGTGGGATTTTAACAGGGCTTTGTGACAATGTAAATGGGTCTGAAAAGACAGCACTGCTCCTTAATTCTGTTTCGGAAATAGCAAAATGTTTGCCTGGTGATATATTAAGCTCTTCCCCATCGCTGTGCTGTTACACAGCATTCATTAGTTCTCAAGCTCACTGAGAGTATTTCTGGTTGGGTTTTTTTTCTTTTGTTTTTTTTTTAATTGATGCCACTTGCTGGGGACTGAGCTATCTTTCTACGAAGTATTTTCAAGTCTGCAGCTGTTAAATCTGTGTCTAAAGGATGCAGCTTAAGAATGAACCTGAAATTCCACACTGATCTTTCTGTGCTGCTTTAACTTGGATATTATCCTTAGGTAAAAGAAAAAAAATCCCTGGAGGTAGAAGGCCTCTGGCCACTTGAACCTGCTTTTACATGCTCAGAAAATAAAAGCCTGCCCTCAAGACTAATAACTTTTTATTTCTCTGCAGTAAGTTTTAAGTGAATGCTCAGCTATTTGGGAAGAATATCTCTGCAAAAGCAAACATAAGTGTGGCTTCAAAGGGTACCCTAGATCTCACAGAAATTGTTTGATACGAGTTTGGAGGACACTAGTGGGAATATTCAATTAATTGTTGTTGCATTTCTGTGTGCATAGTTCAGGAAGAAAGTCAAACCCAGAATTTCATGAATACGGAGTAGCAGCTTGAATTGGAAAAAAAATTGTGACACTGAATTGTTCCACTTCTAAAATTGTCATCATTAAATGCAAACAATTCAGCAAATCTGTGTTTGGTTTTTAGCTGAGGCAGTGTTTTGAGGTTGTGCACCTACTTTCATATGGCAGTAGGTGCAAGTGAGAACCTTAAGTTATGTAAATACTTGTGTAAACTGAAAACTGTTTTCAGGGGCTGTCTTTCTATGATACACTGAGAAAGTGTCCCAGAAAAGGCAATTGTAATGGCTGAAACCTTTTTTTTTTTTTTTTTCAAGTCTGCATGCTCACATTGTGAACATGAAAAGAAGTTTTATTGTGAAGGATGGAATGAGAATTGTAAGATGTTTAAAGAGAGGAATTTCTCGGTTAGTTCCTTTGTTTTTCAGGGTGGGAGTTTCCTAGAAAATCTTCCATCTCTGCCTGTTAAAAAGGCATTGTATGAACAGGAAAAGGACCCACATCTATTTCCTGGGTTCATAAACCTATTGTCTGAAGAAAAAAAAAAAAAAAAACAAAACACCTTTGTGTCTCACTTTCTTTATAATTCAGGTGTAAAACATTTCAAAATATACAGTGGGTATTAAACATTGGAAATTCAACAATAGCACTTGTTCCTTTAAAAAATACTGCGTGCTAGGCTGCGTTGCTTAAAAATACTGTAAGCAGCTGTCAATATATATTAAACCCACTGTCAAATAGTATCATAAAAATATTATTTTTCTCTCAGTTTTTAATTAGTGCTAGAGTGTTACTGTTTTTGCCCAAATATTTAAAATTTAATTTCACAGAGGGCAACAGCCATTGGCAAGAGGTAAAAAAAAGACTAAATATAGCAAAAGGTTTCTACAATCACCTTGTCCTCTGAAAGTGTGGTGTTGCCTGTAGATCTGAATTTTGAAGATACGATTTACAATAGTTCTACTTCATTTTTGGCACTTGACTGTGCACTCACTGATGCATTATGAAATGCCAGATATATAAACTGTGAGTGCCTCTTGAATTTTTATTTGTGGTCTATGCTCTGCTGGTGTTTTGGCTCCTTGTACTTTCAGTTCTGCTCTATAATTATAGCTTTGCAGATTGAAGCATTCGACTTCCTATTCACACGATCTGGATTTTCATATTTTGATTAGCTGTGTGGGCAAACTCTTTAATTAAGAGGAAAGAGTTCAAAAGGCAGCCTGAGTCAGTATTTTGTTAAACAGCAGCAGCAGTTGAATATTAGGCCTCACATAATGTACCTGAGTTCGCTTAGAAATTGCATTAATCTTTTGCTCAAATCAGTACTCGGGATGAGGCTTGTTGTGCAGGTTTTTAAATGTCAGATATGAAAGTCGCAACACTAGCTAGGCATGCTTCTGCAGGTGTATTGCCTCAGGGTGGATTTTTTTGGTTTTAAAAGTTCTGGAAAGTGACTTCACCTTCTAAAAGTCTTAAAAGTGGTCTGAAGCCCGTGACTGTTGTATGCTGCATCCTTAGGTATGTGAACTCTGTCCAGCTGCAGTTGTTTTATTGCATGCTAGCATTGCCTTGGGCAAAGAAAACACATTTATGTTGACATATAATGATTTATTGCAGCTGATTGGTATACTTTGCAGATAGGCACTTTTTCTGTGATGTATCAAACTGGTACAGATTTAAGTCTTAAATTTGTATTGCAAATATTGATCTTGTTTGTTTGCTACTAGTGATGAAGCATTTAAATTCCAACATAAATAGAAATGGATGGCAATTAGATGGAATGTCATTTTACAATCCAAGTTAAACAGTCAGTGTTTTCACATGAAACAGAAATTGTAATGATGGCGTGAGATAAGTTACGAGCTCACCATTTTGAGTGTGCAGTGTTTGAAGGTTCCCTTTGGGAATGTCAGGGGAGCCTGATGTTACTTGTAAAATGTGGTGCCTGATTGCACTGCTGATGCTTTTAAATCATGTCCAATCTTTTGCATGCTCTCAGTATACGCTTGGCTGATATTAGCCTGATGACATTTTGCTTGTGTTTGGGGGGAGGGGGGGAGAAGCAAGTATAAAAAGGTCTGAAGGTACTTTTATGATAATGTAATTTGACTGCATGGTCTGTTTTGATGGTTCAGTGCTCTCAGTGTGCCACATCATGGACATTTTACCAGTGCTTTAAGATTACTTTAGATAAGGATTAATTCTGACCTAGTTTGAGAGGATTTCTGGGTTTTTTTTTTTTTCTGCATTGAGGGGAGGGTTTGAGTTTTTAATTTCTCAGTTAAAAGCAATCAATACAGCAGCTACAATATCCCCTTTAATCCCTCCTCTCTAGCCACACCAACCTTGTGCAGACTGTAAGCAATGCATTTAGTAGGCGTAAGGTAGTGACATTGTGCTGTGGGAGAGGAAAGCCTGCTAGGTTTTTTCTTCTCCCTGTTCAGAGCCGTTATCTCGGGGCTCTGCAAATTAGGGACAATAACTATCTGTAATGGCTGAAAAGGTAAGAGACAATCGAATGAGTATCACGCACAAGGATTTGACATACCTTCCTTGGTCAGGCCATTTATGGTGCGAGGATTATACCCACAGAAAATAGTTTTGGCACGCCATCCCTTCAGCAAAAAAGATGCTATCGAACATGCGCACATCCCCCAGCAGTCTGCTCCCTGCGATTGCTTTCCACGGTATCCAGCCTGTCCATCCGTCTGCTCGCTGCC